ATCATAGGGCCATAGGCGTACCTTGTGGGAAGGTCCAAACTCCACCTCTGAGTCGCTGTCATCAGAATCCTGCATGTTGCCAGATGTTGAGGGTCCTGAGGTGTGCACCAACCCATTTAGAGCGTCTGTAATGAGCCGATTTCATGGCTTTGTTTTGATGAGGTTGACTTTGGAAAAAAACACGTTCTGAAATTTCGAAATTATCGTACATTGTTTTTTTTTTTCATTATTGATCGTACATCGTACAGAGATCAAAGTTATCGTACAAATACGATAATTATCGTACGTCTGGCAACACTGCTTCCCCCTCTTCCGCTCCGCTGCGCACCACGCCCACTTTTTTAGCATTTTACTGTGGTGAGAACTAACCAGTGCTGAAACGGGGGGTTTCATGACCCTTTAAAATATTTTTATTCAACAAGGATGCATTAAATTGCTAAAAAGTAACAGTAAGGATTTTTACATTGTACATACATACAGTAGACTTTACATACAAATTTCTATTCATCAAAAAATAGTGAAAAAAGTGTTACAGTTTCCACAAAATTAACAACACTTTATTTTCAACATCATAGGGCCATAGGCGTACCTTGTGGGAAGGTCCAAACTCCACCTCTGAGTCGCTGTCATCAGAATCCTGCATGTTGCCAGATGTTGAGGGTCCTGAGGTGTGCACCAACCCATTTAGAGCGTCTGTAATGAGCCGATTTCATGGCTTTGTTTTGATGAGGTTGACTTTGGAAAAAAACACGTTCTGAAATTTCGAAATTATCGTACATTGTTTTTTTTTTTCATTATTGATCGTACATCGTACAGAGATCAAAGTTATCGTACAAATACGATAATTATCGTACGTCTGGCAACACTGCTTCCCCCTCTTCCGCTCCGCTGCGCACCACGCCCACTTTTTTAGCATTTTACTGTGGTGAGAACTAACCAGTGCTGAAACGGGGGGTTTCATGACCCTTTAAAATATTTTTATTCAACAAGGATGCATTAAATTGCTAAAAAGTAACAGTAAGGATTTTTACATTGTACATACATACAGTAGACTTTACATACAAATTTCTATTCATCAAAAAATAGTGAAAAAAGTGTTACAGTTTCCACAAAATTAACAACACTTTATTTTCAACATTGATAATAATCAGAAATGTTTCTTGAGCAGCAAATCAGCATATAAAGGATCATGTGACACTGAAGACTGGAGTAATGATGCTGAAAATTCAGCTTTGATTACAGCAATCAATTACAGTTTATAACATATTTTGTAATTGTAATTCTTGAAATGTTTCTTGAGCAGCAAATCAGCATATAAAGGATCATGTGACACTGAAGACTGGAGTAATGATGCTGAAAATTCAGCTTTGATCACAGCAATCAATTACAGTTTATAACATATTTTGTAATTGTAATTCTATGTCACAATATTACTGTATTTCTGATCAAATAAACGCAGCCTTGGTGAACGAGAGACTTATTTCAAATACATTAAAAAATCCTACCGACTCAAACTTTTGAACAGTTGTTGAAAATTACTATTCATTCCATATAAAATGATATAGAGAAAAACAGTTTGCTGTGTATTTTGATGTTTAGAGTATCTTGCTAACGTCATACTCTTAGTTGTAACCACCAGAGCTCGTGTTCGTTCCAAGTCCATCACTTACAAGGTTTGATTTCAGTTGGGATGCTGCCTTAGAAGGGAGACAGGAGACTCGGTTTGGATCAGAGCCTGACTCTGTATCGTATTTTGCTCTGGAAACCTTTGTTGCTGTGGGTCGTCAGTTCACTGTGAGACTAAAACAAATGTGTCTTTTGTGGAGACGAGAAAAATAAAATCATCAAGGCATCAAGTCCAGAAGCCTTCAGAATCCAATTCCAGCCAGTTCCTGAGTCATCACATAAAGTCATTTGTGTTTGGCCAGAAGAGAGCACTTTTATCCAGTTGATAACTGCAGAAACAGCAGAGATGGATATCCTGAACAGCAAATCCTACTGATTTTGGTCACTTCACATTCAGATTATGATGAGAGAAACAGCAAAGCCCAAAGGTACAGTAGCGTAATAAATAACCATCGAAACTCCTTCAGAAGTGCTCCAATCATAACACTCAAACCACAGTCCACTGTGAGTACACTTCTGTAATGCTTTGGCTCTATGTGAGCACCTAGACTTCATGACTCCATGAACAAGAGGTCATGAGATACATAGAGAGTCCCATAATGCTCATTACTGTGGTCTCTTTGCTGAGAAAGGATACAGATGGCAATGTCCTACACAACTCACATCCTTTAAAAACGATTCATAAGTTCAACTTACGACATACACCAAATATTTACTGTGGTCTCTTTGCTGAGAAAGGATACAGATGGCAATGTCCTACAAAACTCACATCCTTTAAAAAAACGATTAATAAGTTCAACTTATCACATACACCAAATATAAATAATATAAAACTAGTGTTAAAAGGTCATAAACGCATGGTATTATGATATGTAATGTGGTGTTTGAAGTTTAACTCAAAATTGTTGTCCTTTGTGGGCCTGACTGTACAATGTACCGCTTCAGGGAAGTTGTCTTACTAAATATCAGCTCTGTGTGTCTTTCAGCCGAGTTATCACCTTGGTCATCACTGTCTGTCATTTTCTTTTCTCAGAAAGCATGAGAAGGGCTTCTGCCAGCCGTACCGTGGCATCGCGTGCGCTCGCTTCATAGGGAACAGGAGTATCTACGTGGAGTCTCTGCAGATGCAGGGAGAAAGTGAAAACCGCATCACTGGTGAGCATTGCTGTCCTGAAACCAGTGCTGGGAACATAAGCACAGTTTATTAGCACATACAGTGGAGATCGAAATTAGAGAACAACCTACAAATTTCAAGGTCACTGCTTAGTCCTATTTGAAGTTATCCTAACAGGAGTTGAAAGGCAGTTTTTAAGCACATTTCATAAGTTATTTGTATTCTGAAGCACAGTATAAAAACTTAAATGAGATATTTGAAAAATAAGTCTGATCAAAATTAGAGAACACTTATAGATACATCCAAGTTATTGGTGTTAATCTGGCACCTAATTTCCTTAATTTGATGACAACCTCTATTTAACTGGCAGCATTCCTCCAATTTTCACTGAGATTGCAAGATGGCGGGCCGCTCTAAGGTGACTGAAACCCTGCGACAGGAGGTTGTCCAGATGATGGCTAAAGGGACGACCCTTTCAGCCACGGCACGAGAAGTTTGTTGTTCCAAATCTGTGATTTCTCAAATATTGCAACTTTACAATGACACAAATTCATTCAAGTTCCCCAAAAAGGCTGGTTGTCCATGCAAGACAAATGCACGAGAGGACAGGATAATGCAGAGACTCCCAGTGGGGAATCGGTTCAGCACTGCAGCTGGAATTGCTCGCCGGTTCAGTGCTGAACAGGGTCTGGATCTGTCTCGGCATGAAAGCGAACCGCACCAAGAATAAAAAGCAACATTGTAATAATTTTAATCCCTGTTTCGGAACAAAGCAATCGATCTACAGGTGTGAAAGCACCCTAAGAGAAGTCGGACTGAAAGTGCACTCTGCAGCGACCAAGCCTCTTGTCAGCAGAAAGAATCAAAAGGCTAGGCTAGGTTTTGCTGAGGAGCATGTTGTGTGGAGAGAGAAGAACTGGTCCAAGGCTCACTTTAGTAATGAGAGCAAGTTTAATTTATTTGGGTCAGATCGGCCCCCGTCACACTGCAAAACAGGTAAAGCAGTTCCTTGAAGCTAAGAACACTGAAATGAAATAATGAAATGGCCAGCCCAGAGTCCTGATCTAAACCCGGCTGAAAATCTCTGGAAAATCCTTGGCGACAAAGTTATGTCTAAGAAACCCACTGCAGTCACCGAACTATAGAAGAGAGTGGAAGAAGAGCGGAGCAAGATCACAGCAGCGCAGTGTGTCCTGCGGCCGCAGATGAGCTGAAGTCACTCAAAGCAGAGCCTCTACACTTCCTCCTCATTTCTGACAGCTGTAACCGTCCAAAATTTAAGTCGTAATCTTCTTTCGTCCTACAGTGGTTACTGTTCTCTAATATTGATCACTGTGTTTTCCACAAAATAAAGGTTTTTGTTGAAGTCCCTTGGTTATTTTGTCAAACATGTTAGTGTAACAGTGGTATACACAGCTAATATTCCTTCAAATTTTGAGCGATAAAGATTAACAATATTTCAGGAATCAAGTATTTATATATTGTTCTCTAATTTTGATCTCCACTGTATATACTACAGGTCAAAAGTTTGGAATAAGTGTGATACACACACACACTCGCATACATACACACATATATATATATATATATATATAAATGCAGCTTTGGTGACCAAAGATCTCTTTAAAAAATATAATCAATATATAATATTTTTTAAAGAGGTCTTTGGTCACCAAAGCTGCATTTATTTATTCAAAAATAAAGTAAAACGGTAATACTGAGATCAAAGCTGTATTTTCAGCATCATTACTCCAGTCTTCAGTGTCACATGATCTTCAGAAATCAGTCTAATATGCTGATCTGATGTTCAGTTATTATCAATTGATTATTGGTGTTCAATTATTAATAGTGGTTTTTATTTTTAATGTTGAAAACAATTGCTGCTTAATATTTTTGAGATGCTTCATTTTTTCAAGATTCTTTGAAAATTCAAAAGAACGGCATTTATTCAAAATCAAAATATTTTGTAACATTTTAAATAAAATACTTTTTTTTTTTCTTTTTCAAGCAGCACAACTGTTTTCAACATTAATAATAATCAGAAATATTTCTTAAACATATTAGGCATATCAGTAGCATATCAGAATGATTTCTGAAGGATCATGTGACACTGAAGACTGGAGTAATGATGCTGAAAATTCAGCAGTTTTGATCAAGTAAAAGTAGCTTTGGTGTCGCAGAAGAGATTTCTTTCAAAAACATAAAAAAATTTTTTTTAATAATTTCAGACTTTTTTGACCAGCTGTTATCATTATATATCATTCTTGTGTTGTTCTCCAGCGGCCTTCACGATGATCGGCACCTCGACCCAGCTATCAGACCAGTGCTCTGAATTTGCTATCCCATCCTTCTGCTATTACGTCTTCCCGTTATGCGAGGAGGGCACCAGAGGTCCATGGCAGCGCCAACTCTGCCGCGATGAGTGCGAGGCTCTGGAGAACGACTTGTGCAATGCCGAGTACACCATCGCACGCTCCAACCCTCTCATCCTCATGCAACTCGAGCTGCCCGCATGCAACCTGCTTCCCCACCCCGGCTCGCCAGAAGCTGCCAGCTGCATTCGCATCGGCCTGCCACCGCAGTGTAGGTTGACTTGACTGAACTCGAAACCATAAAATGGGGTTTAGAGGCAAGGAGGGCTCAAGGGAGGATTTAATAAGCATGAAATCCAATGTAATTGGCTCCCAAGCACCCTCAATGAGCAATACCAATTGAAGCGAGAGGGCCCTCTTGTGGTGCATTTAAAATTTCTTGACGTTGTATTACTATAAATGATAACTCATGTCTATAACTCAGACACACAAAAGAATATTTCAGTTACACTGATTTTTACTTAATGTTTTGAGAAAAAACACCTACTAATTTTCAATCCTTGTTAAAGATTCACCCCCAAATCACAGCTGTTACAACGGAAGTGGCGCCAACTACAAAGGCACGGTCAGTGTCACGAAATCAGGCTACCAGTGTCAGCCGTGGAGCGCACAGTATCCACACAGTCATCATCTGACGCCTGTTGAGTACCCTGAGCTCAGAGGAGGCCACAATTTCTGCAGGAACCCCGGAGGGCAAATGGAGAGCCCTTGGTGTTTCACTTTAGACCCTAATGTTAGAGTGGACGTCTGTGACATTCAGCCCTGCAGTGAGTAGATTATCTTTATGGCCCTCAATAACCGATTTCAACTAATTTATACAAATATATTCTCTGTTGTTCTAAATTTTGTTTTTAATTTTTTTCCAGATCCTCCAGAGAAAGTGAAAAAGGAGATACTGTACATCTTAATCCCCAGTATAGCCACCCCTCTTGTTATTGCCTGCTTATTCTTCTTGATCTGCATGTGTCGCAACAAACAGAAGGAGTCTGCTGATGACACCCCCACTCGCCGCCAACTCACTGCCTCACCGAGTCAAGAAATGGAGCTGCCTCTACTTAACCAGCACAAGCATCAGGTAATCTTCCATCGTTTCAGCTTCTGAAATTGAACTGAAGTTGCATTCAAAATCTGCATGCAATTTTTACATTCACAGGCCAGTTTGGACCCAATTGAACATAAGACTTTAAATTAGTCTCAATGTTTTCAACTAACATTTGGCATCTAATCAATAGCTTATTAATAAGTGAATGCACAGAAATGGCAAAGTTTTGAATGTTAGTGTTATTACTATGTTATTACTACATGTATTACTATGTTATTACTACAATGCCCTTTTTTATTAATATGATGCAAGAAAAAAATCCATGAATAATTTAATGAAATTTATGAGAATATATAATCTGAGAATTTTAATTTTTAATTTTAAAACAAAAAACTAACACTTGCTTCTCTAATATTTTTGTATTCTATCTATTTGTTTTCTTTTTATTTATTATATGATTTAAAAAAAAAAACCTTGCTACGTGTACTGCATTAAGCTAACTGAGACTTGTTATAGCACTTGCATATCATTGCTCTTTTGTTGATTTTGATTGCTTCCATTGTCCTCATTTGTAAGTCGCTTTGGATAAAAGCGTCTGCTAAATATCTAAATGTAAATTAATTATTTAACAAAACATCAATATTACTCTTAAATGTCTCAATTTATAACTCATAAATGTTATATCTCTTAAAAACATTTTAAAAATAATTTTAAAAGTCTAAAAACCAAATAATAAAACAATTAAATGTTTTTCATAGTCGTGGCTCATTTGCAAAGTTTGGTCCCCGTACTAAGACCTATGCATTTTTTCAGAGATTATGAATTTTTTCCAGGTTAAAATGGACCTGAATGTATTATGATGATTAGTGTGCCAGTGCCAATTAAGATTTGTCATTACATCCAATGTGTAACTGCACATTTTGCCTCTTCCATTGAGCACAAGCAGACTTGACGATGGCTTATTGTCTTTAACTTTTAGGCGAAGCTACGAGAACTCAACCTGTCTGCAGTTCGATTCATGGAGGAGCTTGGAGAGGACCGTTTCGGAAAAGTCTACAAAGGTCACCTCTACGGTACGGCTCCAGGTGAGCAGACCCAGGTGGTGGCTATAAAGACGGTCAAAGACAAGGACGAGGGTCCTCTACGGGAAGAATTCCGCCACGAGGCCATGCTCCGGTCCCGCCTACAGCACCCCAACATCGTCTGCCTTTTGGGTGTGATAACTAAAGAACAGCCCATGAGCATGATCTTCAGCTATTCGGGCCACGGTGACCTCCACGAGTTCCTGGTCATGCGATCCCCTCATTCGGACGTCGGCAGCTCTGATGACGACAAAACGGTCAAATCCACTCCAGCCTGGATTTACACACTGATGCTAGAGTGCTGGAATGAGTTCCCCGCAAGAAGGCCAAGATTCAAAGACATTCATGCCCGGTTGCGCACCTGGGAGAGCTTGTCCAACTACAACAGCTCGGCGCAGACCTCAGGAGCGAGCAACACCACTCAAACCAGCTCCCTCAGCACGAGCCCCGTCAGTAACATCAGCAATGCCCGCTACATTAGTCCCAAAAAGTCTTCCCCGTTTCCCCAGCCTCAGTTTGTGTCCATGAAGGGCCAGATGCGCCCAATGGTGCCGCCCCAGCTCTACATCCCAGTCAACGGCTACCAGCCAATGCCGGCTTATCCGTACATGCAGAACTTCTACCCCATGCAGATCCCCATGCAGATGCCTCCACAGCAGCTGCACCCACAGTTGGTCGCCAAGGCTGGATCACACCACAGCGGCAGCGGCTCCACCAGCACCGGCTATGTGACCACTGCACCCTCCAACGGATCTGGCACGGAGAAGACGGCCCTTATGAATGAAGACCTGAAGACGACAGACGAGGATTTTGCTGACGGGGCCTCTCAAAGTGGCCTGCACAACGAGGACCTATCTGTTCCTGAGACAGAGCTCCTGGGGGACAATGACAGCCCGCGGACAGAGGACAATGGAAACAACTCGGAAGCATAGACAATCTATGATTTTTCTAATTTTTTTCTCAGTTGTACAGGTTTAAAAAGTGAAGGGAAACCAGTGAATGACACATGGACGTGGTGTTATTTATGGGCTTTTGTTTTATCCGCAGCCACTGATGGATGAATGCATCATGCTGCTGGAGATATTTTTATAAGAAATGTCAGCTTCACCCATGAGCTGCGGTTTTTGTAGTCTGTGATGAAGAATCAAGCTTTCAGCCCTTCTGCTTTGGGGTCGGTGGCAGATATGATACAACAGTGGACATCTTGTTGGTTTGGTTGTTTTTTTAAATCAAGTTGCAAAGCTATTCAGAAGAATGCATGTTCTTACTGTTGTTGTGCAACATGAAACATCATTTCAAGCATTTTGGTGGGTACCAATCATTAATGTAACCACTTCACAGTTGGCGGTGTCATTGAGAACAAGTCATTTTACTTAATTAACAGGATTAAATGTATTTCTTGCTTGAGGGCTTTGATGTGCATGATGAAGCCTCGTCATGGATCACGATTATTGGACTATAAAGACGTGGATGTGCAAAGACATGCTGACCCCTAGACATTTGTCCTCTTTTAGAAGTTGCTTTTATAAAACATTGAATTCCTATTGTAAAGATTTGTAATTTATGCCATTGATTCTCTTGAAAGATTTGTAACTGGTTTGTAATGTTCTTTGTCTCATTTTGTTTAGCCAGTAGTATTACTTTAAAGTCATACCAACCAGAAACTTGCTTTCTACCCAGATGTTATTAACAAAACATTAGCCATGTGTTTTGTTCATCCGGGCACGTGGAGAATCCAATAAAGTAATACATAATATGATTTTACTAGTGGAGTTTCCTCATTATCTAGAAAGTCAAAGCTACAATCTATACATTGGAAAAGCATTTTGCTATGATATTGTAATTAGCACAATCGTGTATTTTATATGGCTCATTATATGTGCTTTGTGAAAGGTTAATAAGTAACTGAGTGAGTGGTGTGTTCTGGTTCATGTTAACCAATGACTGTAAAGTAGGTGTTCTTATTTCCCAAGAAAGGCGGGACCAAAGTAATAACTGATATATTCTCCACTTTTTGGCAGACAAACTGCAAATAATTTACACTCGCATACAGAAGCTGATACGTACGCAGTAGAACACACGTTTGCCTGCTGAGATGTCAACAGGTGCTTGTTGCTCCACGCAGGATGAACTGGCTCGCATCAGCGGCGTACGACGGAATGCATGCCAGTTTCACGCGGCGCCAAGCCTCCGTGCAAACAGTGGGACGCGACGGAAAAGACAGTTTACGCCTGATGAGCAGAAAGACCGTAATTACTGGCTCAAGCGGACTCGTAATAACGAAGCAGCGAAGAGGTCTCGCCAGCGCAAGAGGATGGAGGAGCATCTTCTGGAGACGCGCGCCGTCGAGCTTCAACGAGAGAACGACAAATTAAAGGCTGTGCTCTCTACAGCTCATCATCACAGCACTGCTCAAAATAACCCGATGCATGCTGCTTTTGGGTTCCCCCTCGGACTGCCAAATGAGGGTTATCCGCGCAGTTTACCCGTTCCTACGAATGTGTTATCATTGCGCGGTCTGCCTCGTTGCCCATTTTCCGGTGGCTGCGGATCAATATGTCCTCAAACAAATCATTTTAGCTCGGTTTTCGATTTGGTATCATACCCTGTGCTGAAAAACGCTGCCGCTACTAATACTACGAAACCCCCGCACATCAGTTTATTGGATAGTTATCATCCAATGGGCAGGTACGGTCATGGGAACACATGCGCCAGCGGAGCTTATCAGAGGAATATAAGTTTTGCGAATGGAAATGACTCTGCTCAAACGATGCACGGGCTGCCGGACTGTAGAAACACTTTGGTCAAGCTGTCGCGTGTTCCCCGCTGTTATAATTACAAAGCGTCGTCCTCTGAAATGGCACAGGATTGCGCGCGGCAGCCTGGCACGATCGGAGCCGCATATGAAGGCGAAATGCAAGCTAACGCGGCAGAACTAACATGCCAACAACAAGCGACCACGCAGTCGGTTCTGCTTCCTCACAAACTGCGCTACAAAGGTGGAAACGCAAGGTTTGCATCCGCGAGCTTCTCATCGTAATGGAACCCACGCGAGACAGACCATGTTAGAGGTGTTACTGGCTGTCATAAAAAGATTGTCCTTTTTATTGCATTTGTTTAATTGCTAAATCACTTACCTTGCACTGTGAATCTTTAGTTGTAATACCTCTTAAATAAAATGTATTGTTTCTGCACAAGTGAGTGCTTTGTATATGTTATGCTTTGAACATTGCTGAACTTTTTGCTTGAACATCATGCATCTTGCTTTCAAAATGCATATAAAATGTTATGAGCGAAAAGTCGGTGTATTTGCTTCTTGGTATAAGCTTATGTTAAGTGTAGGCTATATTTTAATAAAAACATAACATTTCTGACGGTGCACTTAAACAAATGCCCGTGCAATTGAAACATGTGTCTTTTCCACAGGGTGGCGCATTTGCACGCACACTTATTTAATGTAGGTCATCTTGAGCGCCACGTTGTGCAACTCCTTTAGTTTTAGGTTACATCACATCCACACCTGTTATATCATATCGATCATTCAATTACATGTGACTTATGCTGACAATGTCATAATACACGCATATAAATCAAACTAGTTTTAGTTGTTGGGGAAAAGCATGCGGCGGTCATTGAGTTGATGCTGAGAGAATCACAAATTGGAACTGATTTAATATTAGTGTGATCGTGTCCTCTAAACGAGGTAATAATGCATAACACCATTTATGTAAGTCATTCTGCTGTAAACTTTTCTCTATTTCTTTGAATACCACTAGGTGCATGGCTTAATTTCTTTAAAACAAGATGTGTGTTGATATTTTGGTAGCATATTTTACGCATAGCCTACACGTCACCCAAATCTGAAGTAATTAAAATTAGACGGGTAATAGTTATAATAGGCTAATCCCTATTATTCATTTCTATATTAAGATTATGACAGTTATTATAATAATACTAGATCTGTTACTACATACAACATAAATAATACTTATAATACACTGTATAGTCATGGTTAAATATATATTTATGTAATGTTGACGTGGAAATTTCTAGATATTCTAGATCTGGTTTGCAGTTAGAAAAAAAAAACGCGTTTTAGACAGTTTCACTGTAAGCATTTTCAGTACACTTTTTAAAGGTAGCCGACAAACTGTATTTCGGACTCCCCACTATGTATGTAACTGTTCATACTTACGGAGTCGTTATTGCTTGTGTGAGACAGACTACTTTTAATGAGGCGCGTTTCATTGGCTCAAATCGGAAGATGCTGCATTCCGATTGGTCGAGAGATGTGCCAGTCAATGGACGCTGCCAATACACTTCTGTAGTGACCTACCAACACAGATCCATGAGGCAGCAGGCACTCCGGCAGGGAAACGCATAGGAGAAACACAAGTATTATTTCCAGATGGGATTTTATTACTGCTGATGAAACACTTCTGGTCGCTTTGAATGTTTTTATACACGTTATTTATCCCGGACCTCTATATATTTGGACCTTTGCTTAAGAGGTAACTGCTTTCTTCTTTTACCGTGAGGCTTACATGAACGGATAACGTTAGGGCTCGTTTGGGGTGTTTCAACCGGTAGCCGGTATATGGGCAATTAATGGGATTAATACAGTAAGGCAACTTTCAACGTGGTCTGTGTTCAATATGTGCGCCATACTTGTTTTTCGCTCAACATCATATCAGTGCAGACATATTTTAGTGTTTGACCTAAACGCTTATGGATTATAAATTATTATGCAGTACCGCACATTATGATATTTTTTGAAAATGATAACATAGTATGGGCATTGGGAGACGGGGTGGCACAGTGACCCACTATTCATGTGGTTGGGTGTATCAGGCTGTCGGGTCAATACATAATACATTTAGACCTTATGCAATTTAATATAAATATTGAAATATATTACATAGATTTGTGGATTTTACGTTTTACATTCGTATTGAAATTTGTGACGTGCATTTGCTTTAATACTAGGCTAAATGTTAATAAGTCGTACATAAAATTCAGTTTCTCTCCGAACGCTTGTTTGCGTTTATTGTGTAACATTGATACATTGACACAATAACGGAAGCTGGGACACTTCTGACAAAAAAAGACCGCAACGGCACGACATCAGAAACGAGCTGTTGTTTAATGCCCAGCGATAGCTGTTATTTATTCTGACCATCTGTAAAAAAAAAAAAAAAAAAAATCTATCTTTAATTGATCGCTAAGGTTAGTTTCACGCGCACCGGTTAGAGTAGACTGTCCCGAGTGTCTCTGTCGGGATGGGGTGAATGCATGAAAGGCCTGTCAAATAACAACACAGCGAGGGTCTGGTGTGTGTGTACGCCTTTGCATTGGAGGTACTATTTTATACCCCATTTTAAACCCGATTTAAGTGTAAACTTATCACTTCACGCCAGCTAACATTGTTATTATTCCTTGGAGACGCAGACATGGTTGAATCCCAAAACCATAACACTCACTCAAAATGTAGTCTCCGTTAGACTTTGTGAAATAATGCGATGCCATAAACCACTATAGTTGAAAGAATACAAGCCCTTTTCATATTTGTCTTGTTGCGAGATGTTTCAGTCGCATTCTTCTAGCGCCCTTTTATTGATTGATTTGTCTCCGTTCAGCCACGTGTGCTGCTGGCTGCTCGCATTCCTTTGTTCCCTGCGCTGTAGTCTGCCCTGTACTGGAGCCTGTCTGTGTTTACACTCTGTTAATAGTGTTACGATGGACCGCACTACTAAGTTACTACGGAAAACTTGAGTTTATGACCATAGGTAGCTTTAAATGAGGTAATTCCAGCTGTTTTGTTTGCACGTTAAAGGTCATTGTCAGGTCCGGTCTTGTTTTTTATCCCTGTTGAAAAAACCAGCATATGCTGGTTAGGTATGTTTTGATGCTGGTTTAAGCTGGTCCTTTGCTGGTTTAAGCTGGTCCTTTGCTGGTTTATGCTGGTCCTTTGCTGGTCATTTTGCTGGTCCTTTGCTATGTGCTGGTTTTTGCTGGTCCTTTGCTGGTTTATGCGGGTCCTTTGCCAGCACATGACCAGCATAAACCAGCAAAGGACCAGTTTAAACCAGCATCTCAGCGTCAAAACATACCTAACCAGCATATGCTGGTTTTTTCAACAGGGATGTAATCACGACCACATTATAAAAGCTCTTTGCGTTTGAAAGCCT